ATGTAGATGCCACAGTACTCCGCCTCTAGTGAAACTAAAGTGCGAAATGAACTCTTTTGCCAGTATTCATGCTGGTTTCAGTCTGTCTGTTGATATAAACATCTCCTTACCGTCGATTAATATTTTAAATATCTTTTACGTTCTTTCTAGTACTTCATATGGTCCATTATAGGGGTTCTTTAGGGGCTTTTTAACAGCGTCACATTTAACGAATACAAAAGCACATTTGTGCAATTTGGATGGACGAATTCGGTTTGCTTCGAGTTGTGCGTGGTAACAGCTGGTTGTAAATTGCTCACGTTGTTTCTAAATTTCTGCATCCATTCTGTTGTAGAAAGTTATCAGGTTATCAGGTTCAAATAAATCTCAAGGAAGTTTTAGTGTAGTTCCGTAAACCATCTCTGCAATTGAAACGTTCTCATTTTGTAGTACTTTGCATCTTAGACTCAGTAACACTAATGGTAGTGCTTCAACCCAATTACTTGTTTCGTGACATTTTAAAGTGGTTTTAAATGTTCTATGCCATCTTTCAATAAGTCCATTGGATTGTGGATGATACGAAGTCGTATGAATCACTTTAATACTCACGCGTTTGGTTAATTCTCGGAAAAGTTGCGATTCAAATTGCTTAGCTTGGTTTGAACTATTTGTTTTGGTGCTCCAAATCGTAAAATCCATCCATGTCTGCATAAAGGCTTAGGCAACTGATTCTGCTGTTATGTCTTCTATGGGCAATGCTTCTGGCCATTTGTAAATCTGTCAATGCAAGTGAAAACATATCTGTACCCTTGAGACTCTGGTAACAGACCCACGATATCTTTTTGTACATTGCTAAAGCGTTGCGTTGGAAGCTGAAAATTGCTGACTGCTGTTTTAGTAAGTTGGATAATTTTTGACTTTTGACATGCCATGCATTGTGTTGTCCAATCTGCCACATCTTTTTTTAATGACTGCCATATATATCGTTGCTTTATTAAATTGATTGTAGCGTTCACACCAGGATGCGCTAGTGAGTGAATTGCGTCCAAAATTTTTCTCCTAAATGAAGAAGTGATGTATGGCCTTATTTATAACGTTGAGCTATCACAATATACACACAATCAATATCCGGTAATTGCTTTTAATATTAGACCTACATCTGAAGATTTTCTAAAACATTACAATTCTTCGTCAGTTTGTTGTTCTGCATTTAGTTGTTTATAATTGATCGGTGTTGGCAATAATATAGTTGTCACTCTTGATAGTGTATCTGTTATAATATTATTTTTGCCTTGTATATACTAAATATTAATGGTATACTGCGAAATAAAATCCAGATGTCTTAACTGTCTGGGTGACGCCAAAAATTAAAAGTTTGTGGTCAGTAAAAATTGTGAACTGTCGATCTTCTAAAAAATACAGAAGGTGTTTAATTGCTGCGTAAATAGCTATGCTATGTAATGCTGCTTGTGATGCTGCTGCATTTGGGATGAATCTCCTATAAAAATTTAACATACCCAAAAATTTTTTGAACTGTTATACCGGTTTTGGTAATTGATATTCCAACATAGCCTTGGCTCTTGCAGGTAGTGGCTGTAAACCTATAGAAGAGACTAAATATACCAAAAATTCTACTTCAGGTATACTAAATACATATTTTTCTAATTTTATGGTTAAACCAAATATACGTACACGCTGCAATTGTTTTTTTAGATGTTAAGTATATTCTGTCAAGTCACTTGATGCAAAAAGAATATCGTCGATGTAGACATATGCAAAATCTAAACATTGTATTACTTGATCCATAAATCTTTGGAAGGTAGGTGCTGCATTGCATAAACCGAATGCCATTTTTGTAAATTCAAAATTTTCAAATGGCGTAGTGACCGTAGTTTTTTTAATGTCTTCTTCAGCTACTGGAATGTGATGATACGCTTTAACAATGCCCAGTTTGCTGAATATTTTCTTTCCTTCAAAAAAAGATCCGACATCATGAATGTGTGGTTCAATATACCTGTCTTGGATGGTTCTAGCTTTAAGATTGCAATAATCTTCATAGACTCTCCATTAGCCATTTGATTTGTTGGCTATATGAATGGGACTGCACCAATTGCTGTTGGATGGACGACAAATCCCCAGTATTATTATTTCATTATTGTGTTTAATTTTCGTATGAAAATTTAATTTAGTTAAATTCACATATTCTTGAACAACTGATTTTACTTCTGTTGAAGAAATTGAAGTAACAGAAATATTGTTTTGAACACTTAGTCTATTCTGATTTAGTTACAGGATCAATCAATTTGTTGTTTTTAACGTCAATTAAGAGACCAAAATGTGAGATAAAATCAGAACCAATAATGGGTTTTGTAACCTCGGCTACAATAAATTTCCATGCTAGTTGTCTTTTAAAACCAAAATTAATTATAAATTTCTTCTTAACATATGTTCTAATTAGTGGTTGAGTTGCTGCATACAAAGTTAAGCCATCATATGTATTTAATTTTTCAGCTTTTGAAACCGGGTAAACTGATACATCTGCTCCGGAGTCGATAAGAAACCTGATTTTTGTTTTTTTATCACAAATAAACAGGCGACCAATTTCTGGGCAATTTTTGATTGTTTATTGTTCGCAAAGGTGCATGGTTGTACACTTTTTTTTGCACTTTCACCAAATTTAAAATGGTACCAACAAAGTGGTTTGCTTTTGCTTGGTGATCGAAAATGCTTGTTGGATTTCCTTGACCGTGATTGAGATCTTGATCTTGCTAAAGCTGATACTTGCAGTGTTAGTTCGTTTGTTTTTTCCCCAAAGTTTGAATATTTGGCGTTTGCGAGCTTATAACACTGTTTATTTCACCTACTTCAGTTCCGTCACAAGTTTAACATCCATTACTGCCAATTTTTGCAGATTATCGGCAAGCGTTACATCCACATCTGTTTTATTAATTCATCAGAAACCGTTCCGTATTAATATAATATGTTCTTCAATATGTTGTACATGTCTGTAGTTGGTGTATTGATAATAATGTCGTGAATTTTCGCTTAAATGTTGCTTTCTATGGCTGCTAAAATGGTGTGGAATTTCGTTGAGTCTTGAGTTAACCCTGCAATAATAAATTGCGACTCAATTTATTTAAATTTATTCTGCTCGCCAGAAGGTTGGAATTTTAACTGCAACTCTTGAGATTTCTGCATCTTGCTGCGGTTGGATCGGCACTTGCTGATTAGATTTCATTTTGCTTGTTATGTTAAAAAAATGTTATAGTATATATCCCTTTCGATATCCATTATAACGATTGTTTTGCAAGCTTACCAAATATAGTTACCACGTGTTAAGGTTTCTGTCGTATAAGAAATGAAAGGACAAGATTTCCACGACAATGAGGAAACTTCATTCCAGTAGACGAAGGAGAGAGAAGAGAGTGAAGAGACCTAACACCTAGCAAGCTAGGTTCATCTAAGTCAGAAATCTTGAGCCTAAAATAAGGAAAATTGGTAATAGTGAAGGGGGTGGAGTTATGACAAAAGCGAGACTGTGCTAAAGGTAGACTCTTTGACCAGGGAGCCACGGTTATATAATGGTATGACGGAGGGATCTGAGTCCCACTCATCAAGAAAATGAGAGATGAATTGGGGGGGTTTATGGCGTAAGGCCAGAAGAAGGTCAAGAGGTAGATTATTTGGAGTAAGGATATCTGGAGGGAGGTTGTGGAGCCTGATGAGATACCTACGGGCGAGTGAGAGAAGGTACTCATCAGTGCGAGTGATTTTGGCAGAGTTAAAAAGGACGGAAATGGAAAAGTGCTGGCCGTCAGGCTTGCGTTTGTAGTTGAAGCAATCACGAATGAGCTTGCGCTCGAAAAGACGAATTTTTTCCATCTGGGCAGAGGGGATTGCAGACCAAATAGGGAAAGCGTACGTTAGTAAGGGGCGAATGTGCTGCTTGTAACAGAGCAGCTTAATTTTACAGTTAAGTTGATTGTGCCTGCGAAGGGCATTGTTAAGTTGAGTGTACCTAAACCGCGCATTGCGGATGGCGTAGTCAACATGAGGTATGAAATGTGCCTAGAGGATAGAACAACACCGAGATATTTAAGCTTGGACACAAGCTGAATGTGAATGTTATCAAGCTTAAACTTGAAGAAGCCAGTGTTACTTTATTTAAGCTACTTATTTACATTTTTTGTTTCAATTACTCATATGGTCGAACGATATGTTCGAACACAATGTTCAAGTTGATTATGCTGTAGGTCAGACACATAGACGCCACATACATAATACAATCTACGTCAGTTTGGAAACGTTTTTAGAAAACTATTTCTAAGTTTACATAAATTCCATATCCACAACAATATGGTTAATGCTGTTTTTTATAGTATATTCTTTATGTTGTGTACAATATGAAATGTAAAAATTGTAAACACTTAAAATTAATTCATTTAAATAAATCAAAATAAAATTAATATTAGTGGGGCAATGGTCAGCACTTTTATCTTATATATATATAAACTAATTTATTTATTCATGTATTTGAATTTATTAGTAAAAAACATGTTCATATGATTTTAACGGATGGCTAGCATTTTGTAACGTATTTCCCATGAACATTCACAATAGATTCATTTCTGAATTTGGCTGCACTAAATCTTAAGATGTAAAATTTTTTGCAAATAAAATCTAACTCAGAAGATTTAAAGAGCATTATTGTTGCTTCACGTTTTCTTTCGTGACTTGCGGGTATTTTTTGCAGCTAATATAATAGAAAAAATTAATTATTTAGATAAGAAAAATATTCACCATTAATTCAAAAATTATATTAAAATTTAATTTAATGAACTAATATAATAAGCATTTCATTAAAAATTACATTTGCGAAATACGTATGAATTATAACTTATTTATTATATTTAATAAGAGTCTTTCTAACTCTGAATTTTACATAATTTGAAACATATGTTATTGGCACATAAATAATTTTTAAATAAAATTTGTAAATTTGATATACATAAATACAGAGACTGATAATGCCATAAATTGTTTTAAAAATGTTTTAAATAAATCACGTTTATCACAAAGTTTATATTGTTTGCATTCTTACAAAAAACATTATAATGATAGTTAGCGTAGGTATAATTATTAATATTTACGATTAATTCTTTAATTAGTCAAACTACTCAAACTTAGTCGTATTGATAAAATAAATTCGTTAATGATCGGTTATTGAGATGATTGATATTTCGATGCAATAATTCGAGTTGCATTAAATTAATGTCTGTGGTAGTATCAGGGTGTCTACTCGGGAGCACAATACATTTTTAATTCTGAGTAACCACATGGGCGCCGGCAGCATTCATGAATAGGACCCGTGTTTAATGGGCGATGATGATCATCTGGGACAAGACGTTTAAGGGTACTGGTCTTAAGTGTGCCCGTACCAACGCTATCAGCTGTAAAATAAAATTTATAAAAATTATTCTTTGTTGAACATAATAATAAATAGAAAATATGAATAATTAAAATCATATCTATAGCATGGGTTAGTTTCGTTTGATTTTAACACAAACTGGACAAACTAACACGACAATTCTGGGAAAGAACGTTAAAAGTGTTTCATAAGATCTTTGTAAGATCGAGCAGAAGACCGTTTGTAAGATTTTAGCTATTCTAGCACAAAAGTCTTTCAAAAATAGTGTTGTCATTTGTAATTCGAGGTAATTCGTTATTTTGTTGTATTTCATTCGTGGTGAAATCAAATACAGCTGCTTAATACAAATGTTTTGGAAAGCCGCAAGATTTTTGTCCGTTATTAATATTATTTATACATAAATAATTATTTACTAAACTTAACTTGTTTCATGATTGAAATAATAGCAGCTATTGCTGCATTAGCACAAAAAATTATTTAGTTTTAAATTTATATCTTAAATATATATAAATAAATAATGAATGAATAAATCAATGTAAAATAAATATTAATATTAGAGGGTTTTCGAATAGCAAAGAAAGAAAGGAAAACATACAACGCTGTTTCGAGTATTGCCAAGTATTCATCATCAGTGATCTTAGGAAATAATCGAATTTAATTAGTTTATAGTCCGTATATGATTTGTTTGGAGTGCAAGCGCCAGGCTTAGAACTCGTGTCTGTCAAATTAGAAGCGATGATTAATCGTGTTTATCCACAAGTAGCAAAAAATTTCAGTGCTTTAGTTTCAGGTTTTTTTTTTGTTTTGTTTTTTTGTGAGTTTTTTATTTAATTAGTGAACCAAAGCACTTGCCGTACTTAAATTAGAACGAGCTTATAAACCACAGCTTTATTTTGTTACAGTTACTGGCATTGGATAGCATTATTTAATTTGTTACATAAGCCAATTTCAAAATATATCTCAAAACAGTTTAATTTTTCTGAATCGGGTGTTTTTAGCCATACGCCAAATAGCAACCGATATAGGACTTCTAGCTTCATTTTCAATCATATGTAAAAATTATACCATAGTTTGCACAAATTTATACCTTTAAAAGGTATAAAAAAAGATTAAAAAAAAGAAAGATATGACCAATGAAAATTTGAAAAACCTAAATGTAAGGTACCCACTTTCTTTGTGTTATATCCATACAAATGAATCGTTCTTTGATTGTTCTTGTAATAGTGGAATATTATTTCACAATATGTACATAAATGAAAACAATGACCCATAAAGAGGACTTTTAAATTCTACAAAAGACGCTCCATGTGTCTCCCACTAAGATGAAAGTAAACCATCTTATATAGTTATTTCATCTTTTTCAGAAGCATAAATTAGTTTCAGGATAGGATTATATATGCTTCCAAGAAATATCTTTTTTGTTCTTGTTGACGAATCAACAAAAAATAAAGAGGTCAGAATTAAGTCATAAGTAAATATTCGGTACACCTGCCGCTTGGTAATCAGTTTGTACGAAATAAATAATAAATTAAGTTAAGTAATTATTGTATATCTTTGCAAATTTTAAATAAAATCAGTTAGTGACTTACAATCAATGTCTTTTTATTTATATATTGTTTCCCCCTCTAGGAACAATATATATTTATACTAAACATAATTGTTCAGTTCTCAAACTATATAATATTATTCATATAATAACAGTACAAATTTTTTTATAAATAAATACATTAAATTAAACAATACCTTATTAGTGTAAGTAACTATATTATGGCTATTATGGCTCAAGACTATTTTTTCTTTACATAGCAAAACACTCTGGTCTACAATATAATTTAATTTACAGTTAAAATATTTATTGAATAAGCAATTAACTTAACAGTTATAATAAGCAGTCAAACTAAAAGCAATGTTCCATAACATATATTGATATACCATATGTTACTACTATTCATAGTCTTGAAGATCTGTGCCTGCCTATTTACATCATGCATTATAGGTACTTTGCCTAAGTTGCATATGTTACTACATTTAAATGTAGGAACGCCTTTAGTAGAACATGCCCTATTATCATCTTGTTTTGGGTAATTTTATCGTTTCGCTAATTAGGATTTCGGACGATTTAGTATTTTATCGAATAATTTCATAGAATCATAAAATTTATATTAATAGCTATAATTTTTAGTTCTAGATATTGTAACAAATTATCTTTTTATAAAGTGAAAAATACAGTCTAATTTCTATCTCGAATTTCTCGAATTTCTCGGAAAAGCAAGCCTTTCCGGTTTGCTTACATGGTGTCCATTATATTTCTTCCAATATCTCTTATTTTACATTCGCGTGTTTAATGCGAAATTTCGCGATTTGAGTCGTTTTGATAAATTTGTTGTTGTTTTTCAGTTTGGTGCAATTTCTTTTATTTTAGATTAGATGTCTTCACCTAAAACGATCATCTTCATTTATGTTGCTGCCGATTGCTTGAGCTTTCGGATTCATCTTAATATTGAAGGATTCTTATATTTTTTTCTATTAATACACTAACTCAACTAGCTTCAACATAATAATAAAATAATTATTTTTTATTTTATCAATTGTAATTCCTTCATACTATAAGACGAAAGTCGTAAACAGATATTTACTACAATATAAAAATTAAATACAACGTTGCATTAAAGTGACAGACATTGTGTCAAGGTAATATGCAGAATTCAACTACTTAATATTCCAAATTTCTTTGCGGTTCTAATAATACAGTTTTAAACTAAAGTCTTAATTTTATAAAACAACTTCGTAACGAAAGGTTTCTTATAGGAGCTTTAACATTTTAAACATTTTTTAAATATTTTTCTGTCGTTTTACTTGGAAAATTGATTTGGTGGTAATATGACGCGTATGAGTAACGTGAAGGAGGCCTGATAAATTAATTTTTTTAAATTACTTCTAAAAACAATATCACACTGGAAATATTTATTTTTTATGTAAAATTTATTGATTAGTCTGAATAAAAAGGAAAAAAGAAAAATTTGTGTGACATATTCCTTTTTATTTTTTTTACTGAAAAATCGTGTGTATGTGTTTGGTGTGATAAATTAAGTTTTAAAAGTACTACTAAGGACAATATCGACCTGAAATTTTTGAGTTTTATGTAGAATTCTATTACTAATCGAAATCAAAAATATAATATAAGAATATTTGTAGTATATTCTTTGAAAAATCATTCAGTGGATATGTGTTTGATGTGTTCTGCGGGAGAAAAAAAAATATTAAACATTTTCAAAAATAATGGTTTCCTGAAAATTTTTATTTTGCAGTAAAATTTAAAACTAAATCTAAAAATTACAAAATTTTTTTCCGAGATACGGGTCCTCTTATTTCATGAAAGGAGCTCATAAAAAAATTGCAGCCAAATTTGAGATCATGAGGTCATTTTTTGCCAACATCCATCCGGTTTGTAAAAAAATGACGTAGGTACCTTTAAATATTCGTATTAGTATTATCTTCCATTAGACATAATGTATTATATAGATTGACAATAGAAATATGAATTTTGCGGACAATGTAACGGGTTGCTGGGAGAAAACTATTATAACAGATTTTCGCGGATAACTGAAAAAGGGTACGTCAAACAAAATGAACAATCGTTTAGTTTAAATGGCAGTTATAGGATATCCGATTATGACCAGTCCGACATATGATCACAGTCTGATTCCTAAAAGTGTGTGTGCAAAGAGTTATTCAAATAGTTGAGAAAGACAAACAGACAGACAAAAGACGAAATGAACTCTAGAATATATATACTTTATGAGGTCTATGACGTTTCAAAGTGTTCCAAAAATCTCGACAAACCTGATATACTCTATTTAATGTATTATTTTATTTTTATTTCATACATATATATATATATGTATTGACATTGCATATATATACTTTTATATTTATATCTATATACATGCATATTATATGTTATATAAATTATTTAGTTGGGAAGATTTTAATAGATAGTAGGGTTGTGCATGATATCAATATTGCTGTCATATCGTTGGACTCCAGATTGATTTACGATGTTTAACTTTTATAGTTTTGTTTATTGATACACTATTTTAAACTGAATTAAATTGTTTTTCATTTTAAATAAATTCTAGCTCATTTAGTGCTTAGAAAAAAGTTATACAATTTTTTTCTTTCAAAGAAACAACCTGTTTATTGCTGATTTTTTTTTCTCCTTTTATTAGTTATGAACAACTTTTAACAAAGCTAATTTATATTTTTACTTAGAAAACTAAAATCACAATCAAATACTATAGCGCCCATTAAAAAACTATAAAAAGGAACTCCGAACAATACTTTGGGATTCACCAACTGCTGCTCTTGGTTGTAAACATTGAATGGGTGCAGAAAATATTTCAACGTTAACTGGAGACTTAAGTGTCCTTTTGAAAACGATACAAACGATTTAAAATGCTCATGATATTTTGTTATTTCACAGTAATTAACATACACAATTCAAATTACTACTGAAGTAAGCTAGGTAACCTAGATAACCTCTGACGAGTTAATAATTTGCCCACGAAAAGAAATAACAATATTTTTATCTCTAGTTTTTATCTAAATATTCTATTCTATAGAAAATTTCTAGTGAAACACTATAGTGGTTGTGGAAGTTAAATTTCTAATGGAACACTGTGGCGGTTGTGGAAGTTAATATTGACACTGAAGTGAAGAAATATAGATGCATATAGTATGACATACGTTCCATGAAAATATTATGAAGAGCAGTGGACTAGACGGCGCTGCAGATCTTAAGTGACTTGAAAAAAACTATTCAGATCAAAACTAATCTAGATAGTCTAAGCTTCTAATATGATATAGATAAATAATAATAAGGTTGGAATTACTACAATTATATACTTATTTATATAAATATTATTATAAGTATACGTAATAGATAATTGACTCAAGAGGTTGTAAATAAATATAAGTATAACAGTTAATATATAATTACATACATATTATTTTAATCCGACTTAAGGGGTTGTAAACAAGAGTAAACACAAGTGCAAAGAACGGTCAGTAATAAATAACACATGAACGAAAGTAAATACACGTACTTTATTTACTTTCTATAACAGCTTAATATAGATATTCCAATCAAATGTCTTAGTGAGGTACATTGTACTAGTGGATTAAGCAGGCCAAGCGTTTAGTAGGACAAAACAGTTTTAATTCGGTTTTATTTAATCTATATAAATGGATGCACATATATATATAAAATATAAAAAAGGGAACCTTGAAACTATTGTACTGAAAAACATCAAAACCGAAATACTGTAATCCATCATTCGCTTATTCTGTTTAAGCGAATGATGGCATGAATAGAACTTCCTAAAAAAATTCTTTGCTTATAACATTTTAAAAAAATTTCAAATAATTTAATAAAATAATAAAATAAATAATGAATGAACTTACGAAATTGTCGTGAAAGCGAATTAAATCGTCCGCCGCAAATAATTCGAATGGCATCTGAGAGAGTGTTGCTGCAATATCGCTTAAATTCTATATTAGTTCCATCATCTGCAATAAGTGGACTTGCTTCCGATGTGACTGGCCCATAAATTAGCAGAACTAACGCAAAAAGAAACGCTATTAATCCCAACAATTTGGGTGCAAAAAGTAAGCTTGAGGACATCATCTAAAAAGTATATAAACATGTAAAAACATATGCTTTCATGAATACTATAGCATAATACTTAACAGAGCTAAATATAATAGAATACAATTCGAGAAAAATTTAATGAAAACTTTTTCCTTTCTTAGTCTAATGTTAAAGTTCTTGATATTTATATCATATCAATACTTATTTATATTTCATTTTTATGCTACAAGACGATTCTGAGATTAAATTTCAAAATAAAAATTTTTGTTTGTCAGTAACTGATAATCATATATAAAGGGTTCTTGGCTGTCATTGATGATAGCCAATAAAATTTTCAAATTCTAATATTACATATATTTCCGCTGTGCTAATAAATTTCTAGCCTATTAACCAGTTCGAACTAAATATTCTTAAAATACTTTTTGATCAAATGTATTTTGAAGTTTCAGAGGTATTATTTTATTTCCTTGTGTAAGTTCTTATCTTCAAATTATTCCGAAATAGTTATTGTTAGAAAAACAACTCATATATTTGAATTACTGTGCCCCTCACAGGGTAAGCGGACTGTAGCTCAAAACAAAATAAAGACAAATTTTTTTTTGAAGAGAACGCATGTAGTGCGCTTACCAGAATCTTAATAGCGGCCTATGGTCTGCCTGTGCTCTAACACGATTATGTTTTCTAGTACAAATCCATGTAATATTTCATTCAGCATGCGCTCAGCTTTTCGCTTATCGTTTTGGATTTTTTTTACTTTATTTTTACTAGCCTTCTTTATTTTGATATAGAAATAAATATGCCATATCTAGAATAAAGCTGTACTATATTCATTAGAGATTTGGATGATTAGTATGTTGATCCGAAATTAAATGTAACAACAAAACTCCTTAATTGTAAAATTAAGTGAACCACTAGCTAATTTATATGTAAATTTGGACATCCAAATATATTTGGTGTTGTAGAACTAAATGTTCAAGTTTGATGAAAAAATAAATAGGGTTATACATTTTCATATACATGTTTCAGTAACACTTATCAAACCGTATTATCTTCCAAGACATCACATGTTTCAGTTAATGTTTGCTATATCACAAAGTTTTATAACCAGTGAAAATGCTAATATTGTGAAAATTTACTGTAAAAATAGTGATGAGTTTTCGCATAGAATTTTCTGAAGATATTGGGGCTCATTATGCGGTTAGTGAATCTGCCAACAAAAAACTTGACGCATATGAGGCAGAAAATATGCTTAAGCATCTCTCGAAAGACCATTGCAACAACAAAAAGGCATTGAATGTTGTGGTATTTGATGTGGAGGAGTTTGTACTCGTACTGTTCTGAAAATGACAGATGTGTGGCATAAGCCATCAATTCTGTTTGCTATAGTCACGTTATTACAAATTTATTTTGCCATAAAGTTCAAAACGTGGATCTGAAAAACATGGCAGTACAAGGCAGGCAGTACAATAAGCCATAAACCACGTTATTTGTCCTGTTTTGGCTCTGTGTCGCTGGAAATTTCCCAGCATTTTGGTGAAAGATCATGCAATATGTGAGCATTGAACTTTTTTTTAGAATTACACAAACGATCATGTTTATGTGAACAATCCCCAAACTCAAACAAGAGGTCGAAAACTACATCAAAAGACTTTACTACAGTAAGTTATTCAATGGAGTACGTTTAAATAGTTTTGTAAGTCACACATAATGGAAAGTTTCAAGCAATATAATGAAATGGCAATCTAATCAAAATCTCAATTATGATTGTACTTTCTTACGTTTATTTAAGAAACCTTGTATATATTTTAAGACTATTTATCCTATGTGAAGTATGGCTATGCATGAGATTGGAATTTATATATAACTTTTGTTCGAAGTAACTTTAATTGTACCTACATATATGTACATCTATTGTATGAATTAGCATATCGTTATTTTTTATATCTACTTGTAAAACGTACATACATCAGGAACTTTTGAGTTTACTGAAAAATTCCCAAAAAAAAGATTAGAATTCTTTGGCTATTCCACTTATTTTGGAAATGCGATTTTACTATATTATTAGTTTCAAAATTCGAAAATTCGAATATTCGAGAATTCGAAGATGAAACTGTTTTCATTTTCCTCAGAAATTAAGTTGTCCAAAGACTACTACCTAGTAACAGTCCAAATATCTATATATCTAAATTTTATTATTTTGCCATAAGACTTAAGTGCGGAATATTTTAAATATGGTTTAAGTAGAAATTAATTTTTTAAATAATTTTTTCCCTTACCTTTGCTTCTATTTGTTTTGAATAAAATCTCGATTCTGATTAGAGGAAGCTCTTTGCACATAATTTTCACGAGCGAATGTTCTTAAGGTCACAGTTTGTGTCTAGTATTTTTCTGTGCTTTCTGGGTTCTTCTAATTATTGATATCACTTTCAGTTTAGTTGAATTAATATATTTTGTTAAAAACATATAAAGTAATTAGTGGTTATTGTATAAATTTATAATATTACGGAAACATCACATCACATTCAGGAACTTTTAATTATTGCTTCGACTAACGATGTCGGCATCAAATCACAATTTTTATTAATTTTAATTTTAATTTTAATTTTTTTCGTTTGTTTTAATTAATTTCTTAAATTTAAAATATATTCAATAACACAACTCGAAGCGTTAGTATCATTATTAGTGAATTCCGAATGTAAAAACCCAGAAGATAGGATAATGATTCGCATGAAGCAACGCGTAAAGTTCTTCTTTCCTGCTGCTTGCGTTGGAGGATATTTGTTTTATGCGAGCATGAAACTTTGCTTCTAATCTCTTGGCTTACCGACCACAGATGGACGACGGCCAGCACAGCTCTGGGCAAGAAAAGTGTTTTTGTTATTTTTTATAGTAAGCATACTTTAATGATGACTACTACATTTTCAGTTGTTGTTGTGGAAGTTTGATGATGTCTAGCTTGTCGGAAGCTCTTATTTGTTTATTTGTTTATATGTTTATATGTTTATTTGTTTTGCTCTTTGTTTTTAATGTTTAATCTGATTTTTAAACAATTGCTCAGCTTTTGCGCGTGGCTCCTATTTTTTGGCTTCTTTAGTAATTAAAAGACGTGAAAAACATTAATCAGAATCGCAAAAACAGGTCAAATTAAATAATACCATTTACACAGAAATACGGGTTATCTTGCAAGCAAATATATAGAAATATAGATAGATGGATACTCAGATTGGTGGATACGTGTTTGTTGGTACGTGGTTCATTTATTTTTAGGTTTATTTCTTTCAAATAGCTTTTCAGTTTTGTTGCTTTTGTTTAGGTTGCTATTTTTAGTCTCAGTATGCTAACGTTAGATATGTTACAAGTATTTCCATTGGCGACCACTTTATCTTGGCGATACGGTAAGATGTTTGTTTTGTTTTTGTTTATTTTTATCTGCTGGTGTCTTTTCGGTTCACTATAACTACATAACTACTTCGTATATACATACATTTTTGGAATTCCTTTTTTTATACATTTGTTGTCTGACAAACATTAGTAAAATATTGTAGTTTGTGTATTTTTAGATTGGGCAGGTTTGGTAAGATTTGATCTTGTTTGATTTCACTACGTCTTCAAGTTTTATAACATTTTTAAATAGTTTTTACAACGAAATAAAGTGCTCATATTTGCTTTTTTTGTTATATATATATGTATTCAGTTTCAGTTTGAGGTTGCATGCTTATTTAAATAATATTGAAAATAACTTGTTTATAAATGTGTAGTTTGCAAGTTTTAATTTTTTACTTCAAAAGTGTTTAAAAGTTTAAATAGGATTTCAATTCTATTTATTTATTTGTACCGCACTTAGAAAAATTATTGTTGCTTGTAGTTTCACAGCCAAAAGAGAAAGAAGCGTTCAATCGCTGCTCGATCAGTCTGAAGTCAAGTTTATTTCTAGATTTCAGCGCACAAATCAGCGCCCGATTCTACTTAGACTTGATGCTGCCATTAGTGACAGTGTGATTGAACAGCAACTGCTTAAAGCACCCATGGTCAATCGTGACAAGAGAAATCAGAGTGATAACCGAACGCAGCCACGTATTCGGGTGTGGATGGAAACAAAAACAAATTATTTACTCACTCTTTCAACAATTCCGAATCAGTAAACTAAAAATAATTTCAAACAAATTATCACTTGTTGAGAAAGTAAAAGTCTATAGATAAGGGCACCCACCCCACTATCGTCACAGAGGCATTGTAGTTTGTACTTGTGTATATTGCTGTACACGCGACAGCAATAGCTTGAAGCTAAAATATAGACACATGCTCTCATATTTCTTTATAAAACTCAGGTCTATAATAAAATGTTGAAACTAATTGCGCAAAATGATTACTGACAGCCATTGACTTCATTCGCTGAGTGCATTTTTTTTGAAATTTTATCCTATTTTTTTTAATTAAATTTACCCTTACGTTAAGTACAAGTTGCTGACACTCTGCCTTTTTACCAGTTCTGAGATATATATTTTAGCATGTTCATACTATTGTTTTTAAATCATTAACTCTGGTATTCTCGATAAACATGTAGGGTTTAGTCATATTTATAATACAAAATACATACAAAATTAATGCAACAAGTTTAAAAGTAAGAGGGTGCTTTCCCTTAGTAAATGCAGTCATATTTATAATACAAAATACATACAAAATTAATGCAACAAGTTTAAAAGTAAGAGGGTGCTTTCCCTTAGTAAATGTTGTTTCGACACATTCCAATGTGGCAATCATCACTACAAGCATTGAATATAAATATTATAGAATAGAATTAAGATGGACGCAAATTTTTCTATGGTATGGCTGATATCAGCTACACCATATATGTACAGAAGAGTACAGAAGAGAGTAATTATGAATGGAGTTGCTCTCTAATTCATAATACAACAAACTCAGCAGATTTATAACTGTTTAGAAACGGATTGTTTATGCGTCTATGAAACCAAACTTATTTTTAAAAATAGGACATGTTTGAATGTGTTGGTAGGAACTGTTGATTACGTACCCATTATTACTACTGTGAGGAGTATGGCTGATATCAGCTACACCATATATGTACAGAAGAGTACAGAAGAGAGTAATTATGAATGGAGTTGCTCTCTAATTCATAATACAACAAACTCAGCAGATTTATAACTGTTTAGAAACGGATTGTTTATGCGTCTATGAAACCAAACTTATTTTTAAAAATAGGACATGTTTGAATGTGTTGGTATGCGAACTGTATGATTACGTACCCATTATTACTACTGTGAGGATGCCAAAGTAGTATCAAGATTATCTAAATGATTTGTTTATAAAGCAAGTATCAAACTTAAAGTTATATGTTAAAAAACTTTAACATTATTATATAGAATCACAAAACTACATCGTAAATTAAATTTTAAACTTTCGGTAAATTTAAATTTTATATTTTATTATTATTTATTATTACAATATAAATTTATCGTAAGAGAGTAGCCAAGATATTTCAATCCGAAATCAAAATATATTAATGAATTAATATATTTTAATATTTTAATATTAATATATTTTAATATATAATATTAATGAATATATTAATGAAATTTTTATCCAATAAACATTGGTGGCATGGCACCAAAAAAATTATTAAGATTTCGTCCATTTAATTTTGCATTCACCTGTAGACAATCTTTAGGGAGCAAAACGGGTATCTTCAAACCAAATAACTACATCCTATGTTGTCCATAGTCATCTTCAAACTATTCAGGATTTTCAACTAATGTTGAGCAGTCAGAATATCCTTTAAATAATTGAAACTCCGCCCTCTTCTATCATAACTGAAGCGCTTATTACACATCAACAATTGTTGTCAACAATTGTTGTCATCGCTTGCTATTACACATCAAACAAGTCCACACTATTTTAAATACGTCCTAGAAAAAAACAAATATATACTTGAAAAATATACTAGAAAATATATTAGAAAATAAAATCATGCATGTATTTAAACGATGTTTTCGCTTCCATCCCTTCTCTTTGAGAAATAATCACAATTTTTAGATTTTCAGCAATACTTTCTTTAAAAATTTGCGTTTCACAAAAAAAAAAATAGATCGTTGATATGGTAGGGTGCACACGCACGCCAGCAATTTTCGTGGTGAGTATAATTAGTAAATATTTTTCGTAATAAATATTCAGTCAATTAAATTTTTAGATCTAATGTTAGTTGTACGATCAAAGGTTTTTACTTGATCTACAGAAAAAATGTGCTCAAAAACACTAAGTATGGAGAGGCAGTCGCAAAAAATTAAAACAACCGAAATATTTTTGAAACTACATAAATGGAAAATCTACAATTACTCAATTGATCTACTCAATCTACTCAATACTCAATTGATATTATATTACAACAAAATATTATGAAAAGCTAATAAAACTTAATTAATATTATTTTATACCAATAACTAATTTTGATAAATAATGATGATAAATAAAAAATATACAATTAACGTTTATATTTATCTTTCATCTAAAACACACTCTGAGCTTCAAATTTGGCTGATGTTAAATAACTGATGTTAAATTATAACCTACAATTAAATATTTGTAATTTAATTGTTATTAAATTAGTTTTTTTTTTAAATATTTTATATATACATAAATAATTCAATATTTATAAATATTTTTAATAATATAATTGCAAATTTTGAACTGGTTCTCGATTTGCTTAACTATAAGACGGATATAGAAATAAATAAACATATTTAGATATATACGTATATTTAGAAACATGTCGCACACCCTCTTCAAAAAAGGTACAACTCGAAATTCGTCCATTTTCAGAAAACGCAAAAAATGTTTTGCAGTTTAGTGTCATTCCTAACAAAAAAGATATGTAACTGTTCTTTCGACAATTTGCAATAATAAAAACAAAGTGAAATTTTGAGCGTATAGTTTACCTGTCTACCGGTAAACTATAAGCAAATTCCATACTTTAACTCAAAATTGACGAAACTTTATAATAGTTATGCTTGCTCGTTCCCAGTCTAAAAGGAGTGTTTTGTTTTTGTGAAGTAGGTGGAAAGCATTGAAAGCCACAGTGTGAGACTTTAATCACCTCTTAGGAATGAGCATGGAAAATTGCAGCCTCGTGCAGCGGAGGCTGCAATTTTAGTAATCAAGTGAGTGAGATTAGAACGAGAAACTTAATATTTAGGCGAAACTAAAATCATATAAGCCAGAAAGCATGGGCATAATTTAAGGAGATAGAGTTATACTGAAGGGGGTGGGATTATTGCGCAGCTTGGGGGTGGTAGTAGTAGACTCTGTGACTGAGGCCATGAGCTCCGCTGTTGTAGAGGGGATGATGGAGGGACTAAAGCCCCACTCATCGAGGTAATGGGATAGGTATTAGGGGGGTATATGGCCTAAGGCCAGGATAAGGTCTGAGAGGGTGCCAGAGACTAAGATGTCAGATGGGGGTTGTGCAACCACTTTCGAGTGAGTGAGAGGAGGTACTCGTTGATGTGAGTAATTTTTCGAGACTGAGTAATTTAGCAGCTCGTTAAATGACAGACTTGAGTGAATAAATTTACGATAACTATCTAGTAGTTCATGTTAATAGGTGTGGGCTTTATATGATTTTATTTGATATTCACATATAATTTCAGTCGTTTGTATATTTTATCTGTACTTATATGATACGTCCGATCTACCTTACAAAAAAGATGCGAATACTGCACTATACAGTCGTCGTTCTCTTTATTTCTCTGGAAAGCGATTACACTTTCCAGTTTTCCACTTAAACGATGCACAACTTTATGGTCTAAATCTTGAATACACAAAGACTATCGTGTAATTCGTGGTCTTAATTCTTTCTTTTACATTACTTTGCATTACATTATGGCTTTAAAATCTGTTACTAATTTTACTTCCCTACCATAAACCTACTACTTAAATCTTTCCAGCGCCTCAACTATTACGCAACTTGTATCTATGGAATTTCTTCATATCAGTTCCAGGAGCTCTATTATAACAAACTATAGGTTTTCAATGATCACTCTAGTTCTGCATTAACACATCTGCTTAGAGTAATATACTAGCATTAGTATGAAACTCGTAATCTCCATTAACACGATATGCCGTTATTACTAGATGAGATGGTAATTCAAACTTTATTCTTCAATATGGATTTTCTTGTAGATCTGTCTACCGCAAATTTTTATCCAATCGTAACAATTATCATAGCGGTTAGTGACTTATGCCACCTGACCTTAAGGAACGTTAAAGTTTCTTTAAAAACCTCACATTTACTTATATGTAATGTCTTATTTTGTAATATGCAAAAAGATATTTTAATTTATATTATCTCATCATGAAATACTACCGTTCAATATTACATGAATGTAGTCATATATTTTTTCATTAACCTTTATTTAATTTCCGCCAATAGAAATTGGAATACAGTTGGATTATTTTTGAATACCAGCATCATATGTCTTAACTCTGGCCTGCTGAGGAAACTTGAACGATGATATGTTTTAACTCGTAAAACGGCACAAGTTATGATTGGTGTTAATTTGAGAGTGTTTTCATGAAGCGGTATTTGCTAGTAGTTTTTGTTAGGATCTAATACAGTGAAGTATTTATATTGCATTGCTTTATACAGACATTCTGTGAAAACTTCTTTTTGGATGAGCACATTTAAGCGACAAAAATCTATAAATCATTATGACTTTCAACATGCATCATCAAGACAAAAGTACATCGATCAACTTATTTCCACATTTGGCAATGAAGCTCTATCCACTGTGAAACGCTAGTATAATGATTTTAATCGTGGTCGCAGTTCGCTCACTGATTTTTTCCATCGGTTCTATATTCCATGAGTTTATTGTCTCACAATTTCATTGCCTTTCAACGAAATTTTCATCAAATTTTTATGTTCATCATCAAAAACGTAAATATCAACATTACTTTATTCTTATTTTAATTTACTGAAGTCACATACATTTTCGATGGCCTGTGATATTG